CAGCCCCACTCAGGCAGCTTGGTCTACAGGCCCAGTGGTGAGGGAGGAACACCCTGAGCCAAGCCCTGCCCGAAGCCTCAGCTTCCGGTGCACCCCGGACCCCAGTCCCCCCTACCCCCAGCTTCCTGTGTCCTTCGTGCCCAAGCCCTTGCGTCCCCAGGCCTCAGAGCTTTTGCCCTCCCCAGGTGGTCGTCATCCCACCCTGGCCACGATATCTGGATATGGCTTTATCCCTGTCCCCCCAGCCCACCCTGCCCCTGCCCACCTCAGCCCGAGCCACCCGGCCTGATTGAGCTGCATCCCCACGGCCTCGTGCACTGTCCTGCCCTTACCTTCCGTCACTTCCGTGGTTTGTAAGATCCCCTCCCACCTTTCTCCTCTTCATATCCTTTCATAACCTTCCCCTCTTATTCATGGACTTCTTTAGAGTGGGATTTATGTTTTTCTGCCCACCAGCCATATGGGGCAGTTTCATGTCTCAGCTTCTGTTGTTCATGCTTTCCAGGTGGCCATATCTTTCTTCCTTCATCCCTTCCCCGTAGCACCCCACCCTCAGCAGTGTCCCCTCATTGCCTTGCAGTTTGCTCTCTCCATGAAACCCCCTGCTGTAGCCACTTGTAATGAAGTGCTATTCCTTGTGCACCTGGCTGCATATATTACTGTGCAAGTATCATCCTTTATCCTTACCTCTCTGCATTTCTAGGTGAATTCATTTCGTCTAAGTAAGTAGTTGTCTTTTCTGTTGTTTCTTGCACGTCAAACTAATGCATGTCTGTTCCATTCCCATCTCATCTCTGAACCCAGGCCCCTTGTTTCTTTGCCCCTAGAATCCTGCCTAAACTCCCCACCCTGTTAACCTGCCATCCCCCTACAGTAATTCCTGTCCTGACCTTGCTGCCTGTTGTTAACCACCTAACCTTTTTCTTAGCTGGCTCCAGCCTCTTGGCTTTTCCCACCTGTCCTTACCTCCTAGTTCTCGTCACCTTCTCTCTGCACTGCCCAGACTGTAACCTTGCCATCCTACTGTAGCTCCAGTATCCTGCTCCTGCTCTCTAGTCTTCAGTCTTTCTCTATCCCATCGTCCACCCTCACAGGTCTTAGGTATCCTCAGTTGGTCCTGGGCTAGTATGCTAGTCCTTAATACTGTTTTTACACATTTCCCTTGTCTTAAGCATGGAACATTATTTGGATCATCTCAGTGTCCTGTCGTAACATCTCTGCCAGATGATCCTGGCCTGAACACCTTGTCCAAGCTTTAATGTCCTTATGAAAGAGCTGACTGCCTGGCGTTTCCTGTAGTAGTGTGTGCCCAGAGTGGGTAATATAAAATGTTGCACCTCTGTCCCAAAACATTTGTTCATCTTTTTGAACACGAAGGTAACACTGGTGATATGGGTGTGCAGGACAGGGCCACACAAGTGTTCATCTACATGGTCATTAAGGTACGGGTTAATGTGTTCCTACCAGACAGACCCATGCATCTGTTCATCTGCCTGGATACTAAGTAGGCTGCTTCTGTCTTACTATGGTAAACACCCAGGCATCTATTCATCATCTCAAATACTAAGGTAAGATTGCTGATGTCTTCCTCCAGAGCAGAGCCCATGCATGTGTTCATCTGCTCAGATACTTAAAGAAGTCTTCTTCTGTCTTCCTACTACAGGGCCATGCATCCATTCATTTGGCTGGATACTAAGGTAAGTCTGCTTCTGTTTTCCTCCAGCACAGAGCCATGCATCTGTTCACCTGCCTGAATACTCCTAATGTCTTCCTGCAGGACAGAGCCATGCATCTGTTCATCTCATGGACACAAAGACAAGTTTCCTGGTGTCTTCCTGCAAGACAGAATCATGCATCAGTTTATTTGCCTGAGTACTAAGGTAACTCTTCCTTTGTCTTCCCACAGGACAGGGCCATGCTTCTGTTCATCTACTGGGACACTAAGGTAACTCTGCTTCTGTCTTCCTACATGACAGATTCATGCACGTCTTCATCTACTTGGATACTAAGATAAGTCTCCTTTCTTCCAACAGGAATCTGCAAGGAATCTATTCATCAGCTTGGATACTAAGGTAAGGATGTTGATGCCTTCTACACAGAAAAGCCATGCATGTGTTCATCTGCACAGATACTAAGTATGACTGCTTCTGTCTTCCTACAAGACAGAGCCATGCATCTAGTCATCTTCTTGGATACTAAGGAAAGGCTGCTTCTGTCTTTGTGCAAGACAGGGCTATGCATCTGTTCAAGTGGTGGGATAATAAGATAAGTCTGCTTTGGTTTTCTTTATGACAGAGCCATGTTTCTGTTCATCTACCAAGACATTAAAGTAATTCTGCTTCTGTCTTCCTACAGGAGAGATCCGTATATCTTTTCACCTGTTGGGATACTAAGATAAGTCTGTTTGCCTTCCTACACAATGGGGACATGCATCTATTCATCTGCTCAGACACTAAGGTAGGGATGCTGATGTCTTCCTACAGGATAGGGCCATGTATCTCTTCATCTTACTGGATACCAAGGTAAATGTCCTTCTGTCTTCCTACAAGACAGATCCATGCTTCTCTTCACTTGCTGGGACACTAAGGTAAGTCTGTTTATGTCTTTCTACAGAATGGGGCCATGCATCTGTTCATCTTCT